CAGAAAGAAGAAATCCACTGTGAAAATACATGCAGTTGAAAATCACAGAAGTAATGGTAACATACAACTTTTGACTGTTTAAAAGTTCATTTTTTTTTGTAACATGTAGCCCAAATACTTGTGACAAACAAATTAATGTGGTACAAACAAAGAACATGAAATAAAGAACCAAGTTTCTATATCTCTTAAAAGGAAAGTAAACTGGATTAAAATTTAAAAGGGCACTAAACCCGGAAGATAAAATGCACAACTGCAAGTGTGGCTTTCCCGAAGTCTTTCATGTTGAGAATGTAACAAGGACATTTAAGTATCACCATGTTATCTTACCATGCCAGGTGTTGCAGCAGTTACATACAAAACTTAAACAATTAAATGTTTGAATCGACAGGGGGCATTAAAACAAAAGAAACCCTTGGGTTTCAGTCAAATCCAAAACAAGCATTGAGTGATAAAAATGTAAGGCTGCTGGCCAGCCACCAAAATACCTAGCACCAAATAGCTTAAAATCACTGCGTATAAAAATATCTGCATACTACCAAGGGTTAACTCAAAACCCACTGCAGGAAAAATCGGATTGCTTTAGTTGGTCATGAGGAAGAGAAAAGGGCTAATAGTGATAATGTTTTAGGGCATGTACATTGTAACAGGTGAATCATCAGATGCTCATTACAATAAAATTACAATACAAAACACAAAAATTATAAATAAAACGACAGTAAAGTGAAAATATGGAAGTAAATAAAAAACTATTAAACCTACCCAAAGTAGTCAAACCTAAAAGGTGGATCTTGAGATACATTAAAAAGTATTTGTTTGCGACTGCACATTGTTCTTCAGGAGAAACAGAACACTGTACACTACAACTACAACTGCCTTGATTGTAATGATGCCACAAACACACAGGTGTTTGCTTCTGGAAAGCCACAATTGAAAAGTGAAAACCCTAAAAACGATTTTACAACTATCAAAGCACCTGATCAGTTATCAATGCTGTCTGCTGCCACCTATGGACCTATGGATTGGCTATAACCATGACCTTTGCGTCACTTGGTTGAATGCTCAGTCAGGGTTTCTCCCTATCTCATGGTTGTTCTTTAGCCTTTCATCTGGCCATTGTAGCATTGCAGCCTTTCTCTACCTTGCTTTTTGACCGACGGACCGCACATGCTTTGGGCTTTCTGGTGGTGGTGTAAAAGGGTAGCTGAGGGGCTTTGTTTCAAGGTGTCATCACTTTTCCTGGAGATGAAGGGAAGACACAGACAGTGATTAATAAAATCAACAATGACTTACTGTTTTGAAGAAAAGTTTTATAAAGTGGTAGAAAAATTGAACATCGTAACATTTTTGTCAGCATTGTTTCTGGATAGTGACATTTGTCTTACTCTTTTTTTATATTTTGTGCAAAAACTCGTTGTCAATTGTTTTGATAATGTAAATGTAAGGCTCATATGGGGTTTGGCCCTTGTTTTTGTTCTCATGTTTTACGATCACTGCGTTGCCCATTTTCAATGTGTTTCTTGGTGTTGTTTGGTGCTCAGATTTGCTCATCTCTGCTATAGTGGTCTCAGTGGGAAAGTACTCAAGTCTGGTTCTGACGCCCTTATTCATTACTAGGTAGTATGGAGTCATCTTAGTTGCTTGGTGGTTAATGCTTCTATATGCTTGAAGCATACCGTAGATTCAGGGTTGTCAGAATGTATTGAAGTAGATGGCTGAGTTATCAAAGTAAGCGGCCAGTCCAGGGATACATGTATTTTATTTAAAAAATGCCAAGCAGAGTAGTGGGCTGATGCTAACCAAGTAGGTGGCGGTTTTCACTGGAAGCCGGCTACTTTTGACAACCCAGGGATTGTCTCGTGGGGTTCTACATGGTCTTGTCTTCTTGTGTTGTGATGGTAATAGCTTTTTAACCATGTTATTGAATCCCTCAGCTTGACCTTGTGCTTTAGAATGAACATGGGTGACTTGCTTGTGTTTAAATCCAGATTCTTGTGCGAAAACGGCGAACATGTGTGAATTAAACGGTGGTTTGTTGTCTGTCGGAAAGATTTCAGGTACCCCATAAGTTGAGAAAATCTGTTTCAATTTCCATCTTGTTATTGCCCCAAATGAAGTTGTGCAGGTAACAAATTCCACTTCAGAGTATCTAGAATACTGATCCTTTACAACTAAGGTGTATTCCTCATTTAGGAATGGTCCGCAGAGGTCATCTTGTAAGATTGCTCATGGTCTTGATGGAGGTTCAGTCATCTTTGCTGGTTCGGTGTGTTTAGTTTCTGTGGCAACTTGTCATTTGAAACATCTTTTCACTGCAGTCTCAATGTTCTGAAACTCTTTCAATAATGTTTCTTTTTTTTCTGAAATTGTCTCAAATGATTCTTCAATGGTTCGTTCAAGTACGCTACCGGGTTTGCACCATCTTTCATCAGTACGGCTATGTTGATTTCTTTTCTGTCAAGCATAGCTTTGCCATACCATGGTGTTTTTCAGTTGTCGCACGTTTGTTAATCTGTGCTATTAAGAGGATTTTGGTAATTTTTGTAAAAAATGTCCAAAATTAAATCTACATCTAACATTTTTTATATATTCTTCAAGTCTTGAGAAGCTGTTCTTTTGAAAAGTACTCACAAGTTTGTACAATTCTGCATCATTTTTTTGGTAGGAAAGATTGCACATGTTGATCTACAAAGTCGATGTAATATTTAATAATTATTCTCCGAAGGCTCAGTTAATATTGTTGAATAATCCCCGAGACGAAGTTGAGGGGATTATTCAACAATATTAACTGAGCCTGAGATGAATAATTAATTGTTTTAGTATATTGACACGAAGAGATCTCAACAGAATCAGAAAGGAAGCCATTAAAAACGATTAGTTAGATTGACGAGTGAATTCATGTGTGAACACGAAGCCGTAAACAGTGGATGTGCAAAAGTTAGATGGTTACAGTATCTTCAAACATGGCAAATGATAGTTTTAATCTCTTTGTATTGAGTTTTGTAAGCTTTAGCTTCAACGGTTGAAAAGAAAATGCCGAAAATTCAAATTACTACCCAATTCTGAGAAGAATAGTAGAGCTTTATTTGTTTCTGTCAACTCACCGTGAATGAGAAAGTTTTCTTTGTCGCTTCTTGCAAATGCTGTCAACAGCGGCTACGATCAAGGTGAGCATTGTTTATCTCCCAAGTTCTTTGCCTTGTTAACTTGCTAGCACTTACAATTTTCAAAAACATTTGCCTTCCTCTTTTCTCCATAAATTAACTTCTATTTATGGGCAATAAATAGTGGTAAACATAGCTTCGAGCGTACAAAATGTCGGTTACAGTAAACCACTTCCCAATAAATCACGCTGTTTAAACATCATGAAGTCGTTTCTTGCCTTCAAAGTCATCAGCACTTGGATATTCGTGTATTTCCAAAAAGGCTTTACTATGAAACTTGGGCAAAACACCCAGTTCAGGACAGCGATTTTGTTCTGCTTAATATTCACCGCCCAGCGCGGTGAATATAACGTCATAGTCCGGGATAGCTAACCAATCAGATTGCTTAAATTACCAAGATCACTGAGTGTGTATATAATAATACTTGGTATTAGAAGTTAGTTTGGGACTGTCAGAAGTCCATACCAGTGCATGTAAATCTCGTTTAAAACTTGATACACAATGCATAATAAACTATTTTACCTATGGGATTTGCATTTAACAAGAGCACTTCAGTAAAAATGGTTTCAATTCTGCATCAAAAGTCCTTAGGGAAGGCGTTTTTTTCATGGGGGGGAGGGAGGGCCTTAGAAGGGAGGCTCATCAGTGAAAATGAGCACCAAAAGGGGAGGGTCATACCTCTTTGTGAGCTATTCAAGGGGAGGGTCACATCTTTGCTACTATTTTTTAATGACGATTTTTGTGATGTTGCTTTCCATTTTTCTTACAGATTAAAGTTTCCTTTCTACCTACTTTGATTTAATTTGGTGATTTATTATTGGTACTAGGTTACATTTCTACATGTATATTATGCCACAGCACAGTTTTCTCAGGGGACTCACGTCCTTTTCCGTGCATTTGTACTAGACTTGGGTATCGTTGCTTTGTCTTCTTGCTCTTGTTAGGTATCCACTGCCTGATCTACTGAGTCTTAGAGTTCTGATGAGTTACTTAAGGATCCAACAATGCACCCTACCCTGTCACTGTCACTGTTAGACTCTGAATTTGAGTCCTGCACAAAGGAGATGGCAACTGGTTTCTGTGATAGAGATCTTCCCACTCAATGTCTTTGTATTCCTGTTGCTTTTTTGTGCATGCTTCCTGTCATCATCTGTTCGACACTTATCTTTTCTCATTTCATTGTGAGTTGGATTCCCAATATAATCTGCAACCAGCTTTTCTGAAACAATATATTTTTGAGAAAACTCTTTGATTGTCTTTTTATCCCCTGTTTTGAGCTTACCCTCTTGAAAAATCTGTTTCATTTGAGCTTGAGGGTGATGATCATCAGGTTTGCAGCCATTCGTAAAGTCAGGGCTCGACACTAACTTTTCAACTTGCTAGTCTAGAGGCTGGTGACAAGTTACATGTTACTCGCCAAATACATTTTTTACTAGCCATGTGTTGATGTTGGCTTGGTCCAATAACAGCAGAATTACTAGCAAGACTTAAAAGCACAATGCAAGCGAAGCCCTTTAAAACGTAATGTTGGTAGTAACACTTTACTTAAACCAGTTCCAATGATAAAACAAAACTTTTGTGAAATTCAACATGATTAAGACATATAGTTACCGGAAAGAAATCAGTTAACCTGCAATTAAGGTTCAGAGATTGCCATTGCCCAGATGCCATCTTTAAACCTGTGAGGTCCAATGATAAAACAACAACAGTATTTTGTGAGATGCCACATGATTAAACTAATTGGGACTGAAATTAAAAAAAAAATCCATTAAGCTGCACGTTTCAGATATTCCCTTGATATAGACGGTTTTACTTTTTGGTAAGAAATTAATGGTTAGATTAATTCATGAAAGTTGACCACTTAGCCCTCTCCCCAGAGTCAAGCCATCTGGCAACCAGCAAAGAAGAGTGAAAATTTGCTGGCGATCCACCATTTAAAGAGATTCTCATTAGTGCATCAACAGTCGTAACGTCAAGTGTTGACCTAAAGTCGCACATAACTCTGTTCAGACAGGGGTTGCCTCTTTCGCTACAGGCAGTTTGGACAGGTATCACAAGGCAGAGCTCGGTCATCAGGAATAAGTTGGGGTAACGTTCTTGCACGGGAAACTTGCTCCTCTAGAAGTCATTGTTTTTGTACTCCAGCTCTCCTCTCTCCCCTCTCTCTGCAAATGAACTTTGACCTCCATCCATTCATCAAGGCAGGACTGCAAGTTGAAGTGGTTTTGGTTTAGTAGGGCCTCAAAGTGCTCTGACAAAATCTGAAGGGCATCCTCACCGTAAATAAGCATCAGCTGTTGATTATTTATTGGCCATGGGTGGTGGTCGGTTAAAGTTGCTGCAGCACGAAGAATTGGATCATTGCCTAAACCTTGGAATCTATCACTTAGAAAAGAAGCGACCTTGTCTATGATGTCATCTCTACCGGAAGCAAAAGACTCTGCATGGCATCCAGACCTGGTAAAATCAAGGACTTTGTAGTGAGTCCCATTACCAACTCCTTGCTGAAATGAGGTGAGATTTTCGCCTGATCTAACTTTGAATGCTTCGAGTGGATGAGAGGGTATTCACTTTGTCTTGAAGCTGGGAAATCGAGATCTTGTCATCCTGCAACTGAAGTGACAGCTTACTTTTTGCTGTAACTGTGTCCGGAAGCAAATGAAGGAATAATAGAACCTTGTAACTGACTAACCTCTTGCAGTAATTAGAGGCTCTGCCTTGCATTGTTACACTTGCATCTCTCGCTTGTGAACTGTGCTGTAAATGGGTTACTACCGTGTAGTAATTCTTCAAAAGAAGAATATCCAGAGCTCTCTTTAAGGGAGGAACCCAATGGGTGCCATCTGCCTTCACTGCTTTGTAAGCCTTCACCTGCATGCTCTCAGCCAACTCTTTTAATTCATGCACTGATTTAGGTGAATAATGGTAATGTTTCCATATTCTGTGCAACATATCCTTGGCCTCCTCTAACGGTGGAAGTACCTTGACACTATTCGAAAAGGCAAGCTCTAATCGATGAGCAACACAGTGTGCCTTGATCAGATGGGGAATATCTCTTTTCAGCAGGGCATAGACTCCCACCCATGTCTCCAGCCATTTCAGATGCACAGTCGGACCCTAGGGCAACGGCTTTTTCTGTCTAATTTTCAGACATCAGTCATTGCACTGTTAACAGCTTCAGTAATACCTGGAGCTTTAGCATTAGAGCAGGATTTGAGCCCTACAAATGCGTTGACTGCTTCCTCATCTTTCAAAAAGTGAACATACATATCTTCAACCTCGCGAACACCTGCATCTGTAGCACTGTCTGTCATGATACTTAAAAAACATGCCCTTTGTACTTGCTCCTCAAGTTCACTCTTAAAGAGTTTGGATATTGCCATTCTAAAACTCTTGCAAGCCTTATCAGTTCTGTAGGTTTGCCAAGGCTCAATTCCATGCTTCTGTTCAAGTTGACAGAGGTGAGGGTAAGTCGTGAATGGCATCTCTAATTTTGCTACGAAATATGCATTGTCAAACAGTTTTTCAAGCTTTGAAACGGCTTCTTTGTCTAACTGCCTCAAGGTGCGAGGAATAGCTGTTTCTTGTGGATTGGCTGCAATACGAAAAGAATCTTCCGCTCTTTTGTGACCAACAGATCCTGCATGGCTCCTAAGAGATTCTGAGCAAAAATTAGAACGGCCACCTGTGATGAACGCTGATGAGTAATTGGACAGATTATTTTTTTCAACACACCACGTGTAAAACATTGCTCCATCTTGGTGAATAACCCATGGGAAGTTGCATTTCCACAATTGCTGAAATTTCCGCTTTGGCGGTGGAGGTCTTGCACTTGTGCCCTCTTCAGCAGGTCTTTTCTTCTCAGAACTATTGTCTTTGCCTTTTTCCCCATCATTAACAAATCTTCTTATATCCATTATGGAATTTTGAGAAAAACAAAAGAATTTGCATCTGAAACCACTTGACACATAGTGGGCACACCTTGTGTCACGCTTGACAGGTTTAAACACAGCAAACCAAAATCATCTCAAGGAATTGCGCCAGTTTTAATTTAAATATTTTGTTCAATGGCTCGGAGTTTCACTCACATCAAATCTGTCAGGCCGACAGATCACAAAGTAAAATCCAGCGATTTTCCTGTAAAGACTTTCAGGACTCTCTTTTTCTTCAAGACTTCTTGGAAAAATATCAAGACACGGAGACGTCATGGTAAGAACTGTCGAGACTTTTTCACAAATGGCCGCCGTACAAACGTTTGGAAAGCATTGGCAATGCTGTGAAACTCTGCGTGAAATTTCTTAATAATGATGCCTTGGCAAACATATTTATACTAGTAAATTCAATATAAGTTTTAAAAGTGTTTGCGTGAAGTGGGAGCTTGTCTCATGTGAACGAGCACGTCAAGTCTAGTCAGGTAAAGGAAATGTTGTTCTTTTATTTCCGCACGATTTTTTGCATGATTTTATCAGAAAACTCATGTTTTGTTCTACTGATTTCGTAACGAAAAAGAACATCAATGTGCGCTGTCAGAAAATCCTGTCTTGTTTGTCAAATATTTCTGTCAACATGATAACATGTTCAGTAACCCATTTACATGCCACTGATAAATTTGCATACATGCTGAACAGCACATGCCTAATAACATGATATGTCCACAATGAAATTGCAAGATGTCTTCCTTGAGAGTGGTGTAGGTCGATCAATTTCATTTTGTTTTCTAGCTAAAGTGGGTAGTGGAAATCGAAAACCTACTAACCAAAACTGAATTTCTACTAGTCTGTGGCTACTTGGCTACCGTAAGTGTCAAGCCCTGTAGGTGTTTTCGTACTTGGTAAGTCTTACCAGTTAAAAAGGTGGTGCTTTACTTTGATATATAGTAAGTATGATCTCTAGTTGGGTAGGCAATAAGAGCTGAGTCTGGAAGTGACTTTCTCCTACTTGCAGAAATGACAAGTCTGGATAAGTTAACTTTTTTATGACTTTGCAAATAAACCCCTAGCTCTGTGTACAAAATCCAAAATTTGGTGTTACTGTTCAAATGAATCGTCTTCGTAGGAACTTGTGAATAGTAGTATCTTTTAAAAGTAGCTGAAGTCTTTACTTTTACCACTTCAGGAGTGAAAGAGTCAATCAAAAAATTTAAACTCTATGCTGGCCCTGTATAGGACTGGCTCTTTTGCTTTTCGAAGACCCAAGGCATACTCTTCCAAACATTTATACCACAGTTTTAACTTTTTGAATTTCTGGACCTGACCAAAGCAACATACAAACAGCATCAGTACTCAGTGTGTCTTACTTGAAGCTGTAAAAGTGATGGTGTACCTGGGAGGACATTCTCTGCTCTCTTGTCCACTAGAATTTGAGAGACAATGTTAAAGTGCGATTCAATTTTGATGTTACAAATATCAAAAGTCATAGTCGCATGGAAATAGGAATGAAATGAATGGTTCAGTATCGATTTTTTTAAAAAAACCGCAAAAATAATAGTAAAGTGTCTCTTCATAGTGAAATAACTTTGGCAGAATTATTGTTGTGTTGTAATCACTGAATACCGCTTTTTTTGTAAATATTGGCCGATATACCTTTTCCTTCACTTGCATCAAGCAAGTAAAGCCTTTCACACACTTTTATCCTTGATTGATACTGGATGTCATTTTCCTCTGTATACATAGCCAGATTAAATTTGTCAGGGATTTCAGTCCCATCTTGAAATACCAGTTGCTGGTCTTCCAAATCAAAGAATGTTGAACCCCTGTCAAAATGTGTTCTTTAGTTTCAGCGTTCACCAAACAGGTGCTGCTGCCCGATTTTAGGGGATGTTTACATGATTTTCTTCGACAAAATGCAGTGGTCACTTGTACTAGAAGAAGAGAAGAAGAATGGAAGAGAAGAAAGGGGACACACAACGAAGCCAGTAATTTAGAAGAAATGACCTTTACCAAACCTGCAATAGAAGCATTCGTAATCAAGTGGGACAGCAAGGGACAGAAGGGAGTCTAACTACAAAGTGTGACTTTTTTGATCAGCAAAACCCATGGTTTTTTAGGTGCAAGCCCAGAGGGTATAATTACTGATCAAGAGGAAAGCACCCCAGGGATTGTTGAGTTTAAGTACATTTAAGTTAAACCTGGTAAAACTTTAACAGATGTCCTTTTAAGGCAACACATATGGTTAAAGGTGCAACACAATGATAATGAAATTATTGAGCTGAACAGAAACCACAAATATTACTTACAGTTGTACCAGCAAATGTTTGTCACAGAATATCACTGGGGAGTTCTTGTAGCCCAGGGGACAAATGGAGACTTGTTTTATGAAAAAGTGAGTTTTACAGAACATTTCTGGTCTCCTGTACTTAAAAAACTTGAACCTTTTTTGACACATTCCTTGTTTATGAACTTGCTTATCGAAGGGTTCAACGTGGGAAAGAACGCATTGTCTTCTAGATAAACCTAGCAGCGTGAAATACAATTTCTAATAATCTAAACCAATGTAAGATAACAAGATCTATTGGAACAAATAAACTATTGAATAGCAAAAAAATATTAATTTTAGGCTACACTAGCAAGCATTAGGTGTCCAGATCAACAGCCTTGTTGTGTAAATAATGCCATTTACTTTTTGACAAGTGGTTTTAGCAAGTTACAAAGTGTTGCACAGACAAATACAGTCTGATTAGCCACTGCAGCAATACTGATAGGGATGACTGCCTGCAATAATCTAAACGTTTTCATTCTTTGGATGGCTCTCTCAACATGAATTCTGAGAGATGCTATCTGTCTTGTTTTAGTATATGCTTTAGTTGACAGCTGCTTCCCTTTGGCAAATGGGGATATGTTCAGTGTTGCATTTCTCTTTGTAACAAGGTCTCTTAGGTTGAATCCCCGATCTGCCATGATATCATCCATGGGCTCTAGCTTTTCAAGTAACCCTGACCTAATAGTTATTGCATGGTCAGATATTGCCCCAGAGTAAAGGTCAGAGATGAACTAAATGCTCCTGAAGGAGTGATACCAACAAGCAGTTTGAATGTATTGTGGCTTTTGTAATGACTCCAAGTGACTTTTTGAGAAGAGGGGGCACTGGGTTTCTCAACCTTTAATTCTGTGCAATCGATAATAACTCGTGTTCTTGGACACTTAAAAAAGCATTTTGGTAAATGCCTTTTTACCAGCTCTTTAGTAAGTAAAGCTTTTCTGATGCCCTTGTCCTTAATGGGTATTTGACGTTTTCCTTTTGAGCATATGTCACTAGGTAAAAATCTTCTGTCACTTCAGTTCCATCTTGAAATACCAGTGTTTGTTTCTGCAGCAAAAAGTGTGTTGATGCCTCACTGAACATGTGGTCCTTTGTTTGGTCCAGTGACTCCACTGAGTGTTGTAGATGGTAAGGTGTTCAAAAGGAGGTTAAAGACTGCCGCTTTATTAAATAAATCGTAGTCCTTGAAAACTTTAATTTGTCCTTGAAATTTGTTTGAAGTTGTATGAAGCATGGTTATGTATAAGGGAAGAAACTTCTGAAGGAGGGAGGGGGGTGATTTAACTCGTTGTCTTCCACCTTTATTTTAAGTATTTTTGACAATGAACTTTAAAAAATTGTATCTCTGTTGTTATTTACAGTTTCATATGAATCTATACCTCATTGGAAAGGGCAAAAATTAAATTTTCAAAAACAAAATATTTTGGCCTCAAGAAACCCATAATATTCCGCAAAAAAAATTATTAAGGCATATTATGAAGAATATCATTTGGCCAGGAAATGTCTATTTTGTGTAATATGGTAGTAACAAAGACTGTTTTTCAATATCTAAGCCAAACAACCCGAAAATCGTTTGAAAATACAGAGCTGCATGGAATTTTCTACAAATTTATTTTGTGACGTTATCAGATTATGCTAATCAGGGTCCAGTTGTTCCAAGGCCGATTAGTGCTTAACCCAGGGTTAAATTTAATCCAGGTTTCTCTTTCTTGTGTTCAAAAGCATTTTCTCGGATAATTTTCTCTGCTATCTTTAGAGCCTCCAATTATCAAATTGAAGACAAAATGAAAATGGTTTTTAAGCTTTCAAATCTGAATTCAAATCTTGCACTAACCCTGGGTTATCTCAACCCAGCTTTGAACAACTTGTTCCGGATTATCATAATTAGCGCAGTGAAATTCAATACTTTGGCGTCCTTCGTGCTCAAGTGTTTACTTTACAAAGACGCTTTGTCTTCTCAGGTTTCCATCAAATTATCGAGTTCCAGACAAGCAATCATGAATTTGCTGTTATAATTCATCAAAATAAGCAAGGATTTGATGGCAAAGAGCTAAGCGAGGGCCAAGTGAGAAGGAATTCATTGCGTTTCAACAACATGTCTTGCAGACTTAGATGAATGGAAAGGAGAATCAGTAGCATGACTAAATGAATAAACAAAAATACAATAAAAGAATTTACTTAAATCTGTGTGCGTCGAAAATAAACATCAAAAGGCACATTTCATTTGATTAAACTGAATGTCCTTCCCTATAAGGAAGTCTCCCATTCAGGCAGGGACATGGTTGTCCCTGGTTGAATGTCTTGGCCAGCTATTGGGCCGACGGTTGACAGGTGCGGTGTTCTCTGTCAGAGCTGGGCCCTGGTAACTCAAACACAGCAGGCCCTCCAACAGTCAGATTTGTAGGTAGGCCAGTGTCTTCCTTGATGTTATGCAATTTCGGTTGAAGCTGAGAGGGTCTCAGTAGGTACAGTTTAAGACGGTTAAAGTTTACAATCATTCCCGGTTTCCATCTTCCCCGTGTGGGTGTTGCCTCCTCACAAGTGCCTCCTTGTAAGTGACATCAGATGTGATCTTCACTACTCTCCACGGTTTGGACTTGGGGGCAAAAGAATTTCCAGTGTACCCACCTTGGAACGGCCTTTTCCTCTAACCACACCAGATCTCCAACTCGGTTTGGCTTTGCGTTTCCCTTACAGCATGCGTTGTAGACATCTTTCTGGTGATGAAGGTTGACTCTCAGAGTTCCCCTAGTCGATCATACACTCCCTTAAGAATTTCTTGCTGCAAAAGATGGGTAATCAGACAGTTGTTTTAACAGAGGGCCCTCCCTTATTGCGTCAATAGGTAATCTCAGTTCCCTGCTGAACATGAGCATACTGGGAGAAAAGCCGGTCATCTTGTAGGTGTATGCTTGCAAAGCCAGAAAGACCTTAGGAAGATACTGATCACACTCCTCTTGCTCCTCCACAACCTTGGCAATAACACCGGTAACTGTGCGGAAAAGTCACTCCACACCCCCATCACACTGAGGGTGGTATAGTGTTGTCCTTTGTTTGATGGACTTAATCATGTTGCTTAAGATATGAAATGACCTAGACTCAAATTGCAGCCTTGGTCGCTGAGTTCCCCTCGAGGACAACCGAAGTTGCATACGAAGTCCATGACAACGTAGTTGACCGTGTTAGCCTCTTGACCAGGTAAGGCGTACATTTTGGGCCACTTTGTGTACATGTCCGCCACGTAACAACAAACTTGTTTCCTTTGTTGGTCTCTGGAAGGGGGCCGAGAATGTCATTCTGAATCCTCTCTTGAGGGTAGCCTATTTTAATAGATTGTATGGGCACTCTTACCAGTGGTTTTGTCTGTTTCTGGAGCCGCAGATGTGACACATACAACAGTACAGTTCAATATCTGCAGTTTAGCCAACCTAATGAAAGCTCTTCTGGACATTGTCTGTAGTCTTACACACTGACAAGTGTCCACACTGGTCATGTTACTCCTGCAACACAGCACCCTTTAACTGCTCTGGGACACAGATCTGCAGGCTCTCATGTCCAGGCCTTTCATCACTGGTGCAACACCTCATTCTGCAAACGTTACCAATTGTATTGACCCCATAGAGACCACCTATGTCGATCTGCCCCGCCCATTTCTTCTTTAGGTGGTCTTTTTCCTACCTTCAGCCACTGGAGTACTGCATTGATATGCTTATCCTTTGACTGCTCTGTGCTAAGGTGAGCACTGGACCACGTTGGGTATGGTCTGGGTTCAAACTGGTTTTCATCCTCGACAAAAGTTGTTGAACGGTCACCGGTAGTTGCTCCAACAACAAATGATGCACAAAAATTGTTTGTTTCATCAAGGGTGTCAGACGTGGGGTTTTCTGGCAAAGGTGGATGGTACAGGCCATCAGCATTGCCATGCAGAGATGACCTGACAGAGACATCAACCGTCATAAAGCTAACAAGCTTAGATGAATATTAAATGAACTGGGGGAGTCACGATAAGCTAAGTACCCTGAGATAATAGAGTTGCAGTAAGCTGGGTAATTCTGAAATCTTTCTTCGCTCTATTGCTTAAATTAGCTTAAAATG